ATTAGAGTGACTCTAATTAGTGAGATTCTGTCTCAAAAAAAATAACAACAACAACAACAAAAAAATCCGAAATAAAAACTTCCCATAAAGAAAAGCCCAGGCCCAGATGGCCTCACTAGTGAATTCTACCACATGTTCAAAGAGGAATGAATACCAATCTTTTACAAAGTCTTCCAAAAACTTGGGGAGGAGGGAGTGACTTCCCAAATCATTTCATGGATGAGAATCTTTACCTCAGAGCAATCACCACCTACCCTTTCACTGCAGAAATTGATGGTAACAGCCCAGACTACTTCTATATGAAATCGGATTCAGAATGATCAGGCACCCTAGAGCAATAATTCTTAACCTTGGCTACAACTAAAAACTACGTAGGGAGATTTTAAAAATCCAAATGTCCACACTGTATCTAGATATATTATATCAGGATCTACAGGGGTAGGATTCAGGCAACACTGTTTTTAAATAACTCTCTAAGTGATATAACTACAAGAAAATATCAAACAGCAGTTCTCAACCTGTGGGTCATGACCCCTTTGGGGGTCTTCTGCATATCAGATATTTACATTATGATTCATAACAGTAGCAAAATTACAGTTATCAAGTAACAACGATAATAATTTTATGGTTGGGGGTCACCACAACATGAGGAACTGTATTAAACGGTCACGGCATTAGGAAGGTTGAGAACCACTAATATAAAAGGATATGGATAACAGAAGTACCAAATTTCTACTCTATTAGATCATTCCAAATCCTTTACTCCTGCCAAATTTTCAGGGCTGACAGATTAAACAACCTACAACAACCTGTAGGTTAACAAGTGAAATACTGACCAGTGAGGTTGTCTAGTGGGGGGTATAGGAGTAATGATCAGAAGCTTTGTGGTGCCTGGGGCTCTTTACTACAGGACTCCACCTCTCTACTTTTCCTTACGTTCACTGACATTAATGTAAACCATGCATGCACTTTGGCTTTTACTCAATTATGGGAAGAATTACAGTGACAAAATTAAGGACTCTTCAGGTAGGTGGAAACTGCATGAGCAGAGGTGAGGAATCATGACTATAGGGTGGTAGAAACAAAACAATTATTAGAGCACAAAATTCAAAAGTGGGACAGGTCATACAGGTTATAAAGGAATTATTCAGAACTTATTCTTTTAACCTGGATGGAGGTGAAACACATTTTCTCTAAAAGTATCACAAGAATGTAAAAGCAAATATCCAATGTACTCAGGACTAATATGAAGCCAGTAGACAATCTAATACATATCCATGTAGAAGAACAACTCAATTCAATTCAAGTTGAGGAGGGGGGAGCAAGGAAGGGGAGAGAGGGAAGGAGGGGAGGGGATTGATGTGCTCCCATTTAATGGGCACAATGTAAAGGTATATAGCACATTTTTTGGGTGCGGGGCCCAACTACAAGAGGGACTCGACCTAACAAATGCAAATATTGTAACCTAGTTGTTTGTACCCTCACATTACCTGAAATATAAAAAAGAGAGAGAGAGAGAGAGATGGAGATTTGGCTTTACTGCCCAACCAGGAGTGCTGTAGCAGGATCATCACTCACTGTAGCCTTGAGCTCCTGGGCTCAAGTGATTCGCCCACCTCAGCCTTCTAAATAGATAGGACTGCAAACAGGAGCCACCATTTCCAACTGATTTTTAAAACAATGTTTAGTAGAGATGAAGTTTACACTATGTTGTCTAGGCTGGTCTTGAACTCCTGGCCTCAAACCATTCTCCTACCTTGACCTCCCAAAGTGTTAGGATTGCAGGTGTGAGCCACTGCATCCAGCCTATTCAGCAAGTGACAGGAACCTAATTCTAACTAGTTTAAAGCAGAAAAGGGAGTTTACTGGCAGAATCCTCAGGGAGCCCATAGAATCAAAGGAAGGGTTGTAAACACCTGGAACACTGACAATTTCAAGGATGAAAATTCAGAGTTCAGTGTCATGAGGATTCTTTCATTCTGTCTCTCATCTTGGCTCTTCTCTGGCCTCAATCTTTCAAGCTTCTCATGCTGTCAGAGTTATTTAAAAAAAATAGACTCAATGGCTCGGTGCCCATAGCACAGTGGTTATGATGCCAGCCACATACACCAAGGGTAGAGGGTTCCAACCAGGCCTGGGCCTGCTAAACAATGACAACTGCAACAAGAAAATAGCCGGGCATTGTGGCTGGCACTGGTAGTCCAGCTACTTGGGAGGCGGAGGCAAGAGAATCGCTTAAGCTCAAGAGTTTGAGGTTGTTATGAGCTGTGCTGTTGCTATAAGCACTCTACTGAGAGTGACATGATGAGATTCTCTCAAAAAAAAAATAAAAGTAGATTCAGATAGGCACAGCCTGCTCACATAGAAACTCCTATATGCTGGAAGAGTAAAGACAGTGCTACTCTAAAATCAGCATACTCCTAATAATCACGTGGTTAGAATGGGGTAGGCAGTTTCCTAAAAGAAAGAGAATGATGTTTTGAAAAGACTAAGCAATAAACCATTACAGATAGGCAGAGGCCAGGTCATAGGCAACTTTTTAAGTCCTGCTGGGGGTATTATAGAATCTTATTCTGACATAAGAATTTAAGTCAGATTTGTATTTTATTTATTTTGAGAAAAGAATCTCACTTTCTCACCCTTGGTACAGTGCTGCGGCATCATAGCTCACAGCAACCTCAAACTCTTGGGCTCAAGTGATCCTTTGCCTCAGCCTCCCAAGTAGGTGGGATTACAGGTACCTAACACGATACCTGGCTATTTTTAGAGATGGGGTCTTGCTCTTGCTTAGGCTGGTCTCAAACTCCCAAGCTCAAGCAATGGACTCAAAGAGAAATGCTTGCTGAGAGGGAACACCAAGAGCTTAATTTGTATATGTTAGATTTTAGGTAACAGCATTTAAATGACAATGCTCAGAACTGAAAGTATGGGCTGCAGGTCTAGGCTAATGACAGTTATTTTGCATTAGTCCATAGGTAATAACTGAAATAGTGGGTGACATTTCTCAAGGAGCACATGGACTAAAATTATTATGGAAGAAATACTTAAGGAGATGAGTGAAAAAGAGGGGTGGTGCCTGTGGCTTAGTGGGTAGGGCAATGGCCCCATATACCGAGAGTGGTGGGTTCGAACTGCAACAAAAAAATAGCTGGGCATTGTGGCGGGTGCCTGCAGTCCAAGCTACTTGGGAGGCTGAGGCAAGAGAATTGCCTAGGCCCAGGAGTTGGAGGTTGCTGTGAGTTATAATGCCACAGCACTCTACCAAGGGCAATAAAGTGAGACTCTGTCTCCAAAAAAAAAAGAGAGAGAAAGAGATGAGCATGGAAGAGAATAAGTGGCCACATTAGAAGAAAAACCAGAACTGAGAGAAGCCAAGCAAGACTTCACTTGAGAGGGTAAAGTTATAGGTCTAAACCTATAACTAGACTATGGACTCTTAAAGAGAGGAACTGTGTAGCGGCGCCTGCGGCCCAAAGAAGTAAGGTGCCGGCCCCATATGCTGAAGGTGGCAGGTTCAAACCCAGTCCCAGCCAAAAACTGCAAAAAAAGAGAGAGAAACTGTGATTGCTCTTGTTATCTCCTGGGCTAGTATAGAGACTTTTACAAAGCTGGCATTCATAAATGTTTATTAGTTTAATCTGTAGACACATGAAAGTCTGATGCACATGGCACAATGGCCAGGCTGGAAGGGAAATGCTGTTGGCAAGAGGTTGAAGATGGGAAGATAAGATCATCAAATACCCTGAAATCAGGCAGGAGTTTGAACTTGCTGTAGCGATCCAGGCATCTACCAAGAAAAGAATGAATATCTGCTTTTTGATTATCAATAATCCCGTAATGAAAAGAGCATGTTGCAGTTAAAGTACTTACAACCATTACCTCAATTAATCTTGATAAAATCTTTGTGAGTTAAGCACAATTTTGCTAATAAGGAAATAGAAGTTTAGGGAAGTTGAGCAGACCAGTCTGTATTTAGTAGATGGTAGATCTCCCAAGGCCCAAGCCCAAGTTGTTCCTTGCTATTTTCTCTCTAACACAGCACTACTGGTTAATTTGGTTTCTGGAGTAAAGTCTTAAGCTGGAGTGATATTATTAAAATGATATCCTTTTGAAAAATATTTATTGAGTATAAATAAATGTCCTATACATTAAATATCAAGAAATATTCATTATTGATTACAAGTCAGGCTGTAATACTGAGGGAACCATAGAATCAAGATATCTACTCATGATACAGTAGTTATTCCATTCTCACATTGGACACAGTAATGATTTGCTCACAAGACACAACAAAACTCATCAGAAAAAGACTATCACTTTAACAGACCTATAATGTCACAACAGAAAATGTTTTGTTTTGTTTTTTTAGAGACAGAATCTCACTTTGTCACCCTCGGTAGAGTGCTGTAATGTCATAGCTCACAGCAACCTCCAGCTCTTGGGCTTAGGGATTCTCTTGCCTCAGTCTCCCAAGTAGCAAGGACTATAAGTGCCCGCCACAATGCCCGGCTATTTTTTATTATTGTTGCAGTTTGGTGGGGGGCAGGTTTGAACCCACCACCCTCAGTACATAGGGCCAACACCCAACTCACTGAGCCACAGGCGCCGCCCAGAAATTGTTTTTTTTGTTTTGTTCTTAGAGACAGAGTCTAACTTTGTTGCCCCTGGTAGAGTACTGTGGCATCACAACTCACAGCAACCTCAAACTCTTGGGCTCAAGTGATTCTCTTGCCTCAGCCTCCCAAGTAGCTGGGACTACAGGTGCCCGCCACAACGCCTGGCTAGTTTTTAGAGATGAGGTCTCACTCTGGCTCAGGCTAGTCTCAAACTTGTGAACTCAGGCAACCCATCTGCCTTGGCCTCCCAGAATGCTGGGATTACAGGCATGAGCCACCATGCCCAGCCTTAGAAAATGGTTTAGAATCAGAATATGAACAGCCCCGATAATTTTATCTCTGTCTTATCAATTTATCATACAGTTAACACTGTTAAAGATTTTAAAGATTCCCATTTCCTTGATTTTATTTTAAATGATCACTAAGTCATACAAAGATACTTTTAAGTAAGTTAGTCTTTCATAGGAGAAAAAGGAATCAAATTTTAGTACAAAGAAAGCATCTCCAAAGGGATGAGTCTCTTACTGGGAAGAAAAAAAGCAATGTAATTAACCTTTCTTTCAAAGAAAAGAAAAAAACCTAAATCTGTTATGGAAATTTCGGAAAGATAACACATTTCCCAGTCCCACAATGTATGTTCATTTTATACGAGGTACTTGAATGATGCAAGTCTATGAAGCAGGAATCTGTGGCAATCCAAATTCATCCACCAGAACTCCATCCTGTGAAAAAGAAGCAATACTTAGTGCCATTATTTTTCACTTGATAAAAAAAAAATGATTATAATCATTTAATAGCCAAAACTCACTTGCAAGTATTTAATCAATCAAAACTAAAATCCCATCCATAAGATAAGAATGAGCTTTGGGATAAGAGGTGAAGGAGAGGGTGATGAATCAGAAAAAGAACTAGAAGGGATCAAAAGGGGGGTTGTCCTTTGCAGGGTAAGATAAGAGTAAAAGAGGGAGAAAGAAATGTAAAAGTAAACCTGGAAAAGGGAAAAGGAAGCTGGTATATAGGCCAGTACCCTACTCAATGAGCCACAGGCGCAGCCCAGAAAATGCTTTTTTTTGTTTTGGAGTAAAGGCTGAGGATGTAGGCCTTGCCTCCAGATTTTCGTTTTCACTCTGACCCCTAATGCGGACCAGGCAGTCAATTCCATATCATACTTTACTACAAAATCATAGGCAGTGATACCACTATCAATTAGACCCGTATGTCTAGCCAGGCATAGTGGCTCACACCTGTAATCCTAGCACTCTGGAAGGCTGAGGTAGGTGAATTGCTTGGCTCAGGAGTTCAAGACCACCCTGAGCAAGAGTGAGACCCCATCTTTACTAAAAATAGAAAAACTAGCAGGTGCTGTGGTGGGTGCCTGTAGTCCCAGCTACTTGGGAAGCTGAGGTAAAAGAATCACTTGGGCCCAAGAGTTTGAGGTTGCTGTGAGCTGTAACACCACAGCACTCTACTGAGAGTGACATAGTGAGACTCTGTCTCAAAAAAAATAATAAAATGAAATAAATAAAGTAAAATTAAAATAAAAGCAAAATAAAAATAACATAGATGTTTCAGGGGCTTATTACTAAGGAATTGAAAAGATGGGCTATCATAGCATTAACAAAATTTATTTCAAGGAGGCGCCTATGGCTCAGTAAGTAGGGCGCCAGCCCCATATACCGAGGGTAGTGGGTTCAAACCCGGCCACAGCCAAACTGCAACAAAAAATAGCCAGGCATTGAAGCTGGCGCCTGTGATCCCAGCTACTCCGGAGGCTGAGGCAAGAGAATCGCCTAAGGCCAAGAGCTGGAGATTGCTGTGAGCTGTGATGCCACAGCACTCTACTGAGGGTGACAAAGTGAGATGCTATCTCTAAAAAAAAAAAAATAATAATAATAAATAAATGTATTTCATATGTGCTGAGAAAAAGCAACCTATGCACCTGGAACCCTGAAGTGGCCAAAGAGGTGGGCATGGAATGTGGTAGGCAGCAAAGAAAGGTTCCAGGCTTAAGGGAGAAGGGAGGGGTATGAGAGAGGAAGATGCACATTCACAGAACTCAGCTAAAAGGGACCTGAGAAATTACCTGCTTCCTTCCCTTTACTCTCTACATTTTATAGGTGGGAAAAACTGATGAGGTTCAGAAAGCAGACATGAATTTCTATAGGGCTGGAACTGGCTTCCACTTAAATATTCTATTTATTATATTGTGCACACTCAATATGCATGTGGGGAAAAAGGCAAACAACAGTGCTATAAATATCCAGAGGCAATAGAAAAAAAACCTGTGCCAGGAACAAAGACAGAATGACTGAGATTTTATAAGCAGTAAAATAATTTTATTTATAATAATAACAACCACGTAGATTTGGACAGTGGTTTAAGTTTGCAAAGTCTTTTACATATAAGATCTGATTTGCTTAACACAACAATTAGGTGAGATACTTGTAATTACCTGTGTTTTATATATGCAAGGAATAGAAAAGCTCAAAACAGCTAAGGGTTTGTCATAGTGCCAAGTATGCTGATTCTTTTTTTGTTTTGCTTTGTTTTCTTGAGGTTTAATTTACCATCTTGACCATTTTTAAGTGTACGGGTCAGTGGTATAAATAGATTTATATCCTTTCCCTCACCTTCATCTTCCCCTTCCTTCTTCCCCTTCCTGTCATATCATCATGATAGCCACAATTTTAGTTCCCACAAATGAGTGAGAACACACAAAGGGAAAGAGATTATTCATTTCTATTTTCAAAATAAAAGATGACCACTATAAGAAATTTTCAAGGAGGGGCAGATATGATGGCTTATCCTATAATCCCAGTGTTTTAGCAAGCTGAGGTCTGTGTCTGGCTTAATCCAATGGCCTCCAGCTTCATCTATGTTGCTGAAAATGCCAGGACTTCACTTTTTATACAGCTAAATAATATTTACTTGTGTATATAAACATTTTCTTTACCTGTTTATCCATTAATAAGCACTAAGTTTGATCCCATATTTTGGCTATTGTGTCCTGATTCTTGATTCTTTTACCTTGTTGAATTATAACCTTTCTATATTAAGTTTTATACTGAAATTATTAATGCCTAGGGTAAAAAAAAAAATCCACTCAATAATTAACTAGTGTGTCTGAAGAGTGAGATTTTTTTAACACTGCTGTCTAGCAAACCTCATGCATGTGTTGCTAATGCTTTTCTAGGAAATGTCTAAAACCTATCAACAGTACCCAGTACTAGGTCATAAAGATGATTATATCGGTTATTTATTTATTTATTTTAGAGACAGGGTCTCACTTTGTCATCCTTGGTAGAGTGCCATGGCATCACAGCTTACAGCAACCTCCAACTCTTGGGCTTAGGTGATTCTCTTGTCTCAGCCTCGCAAGCAGCTGGGACTACAGGTGCCTGCCACAACGACTGGCTATTTTTTGTTGCAGTTTGGCCAGGGCCAGGTTTGAACCTGCCACCCTTGGTATATGGGGCCAGCGCCCTACTCACTGAGCCACAGGCACCACCCAATTATATAGGTTACACAAATTATTAATGTATAAAAACATTCTTGAGCTTCAGTGACACTATTTAATACAGTCAGTTCATCATCCAATGCAGGAAAACTGGGCTCTCCAGGGTTCCCAAAATAATGACCAGGACTGTCTTTCCTTGTTCTAATTTAAGGCTACCTTTTAGAATCGCAGACTGATGGTCAAGCACAAAACCTTACCATTTTGCATAGACACATAAATAGAAAAAGCTTTCACCTTGTTTTTTGTGTCAGTGGGAACACCTTCTGGAATTGCAGGTGCAGATGCTGCTTCATCCAAGTAGGAACTATCTTCATCAGCTAGAAGCTCATCACCCAGTGCATCCAATTCTGAGATTGAAATAGCATTTCAAAAATAAGTAAGAAAGAAAATTGGTAGCTAATGTTAAGAATGTTAGCCAAATGATTTGTAATGAGATGAAAATTTAATCCAAAGGGAAAGGGATTATTAATTTCTATTTTCTTTTTTTTTGAGACCAATGTTTTAGGAGTCTGAAGTGCGAGGATCACTTGAGGCCAGGAATGCAAGACCAGTGTGGGTAACATAGCAAGACATCTCCAATTTCCTCCCTAACCCCTGGGTCTCTACAAAATACTTAAAAATTAGCTGGGCATGGTGTCATATGTCTGTAGTCCTGGCTACTCTAAAGGCTGAGGAAGGAGGATTGCTTAAGCCCAAGTTCCAGCTCGGGTGACAGAGCAAGACCCTATCTCTAAAAATAAAAACTAAAAAATAAAAAAGAAGAAATGTTCAAGGAAACGTGATAAAAATCTATGAAATACAAAAAGCAAAAATAAAAGTAAAATAACCAGCCTTTTCTTTGTCATGGCAATGGGGACCAATTCATTGTCCATGGCGAATGTATCTTGCTCTGTAAACCTCTTTCTTCCTCAATAAACTGTTTCATGGTTGTGGGGGATGAAGGGGAATAAAACAACCATTTCTTCACAGGTCACAGGTCTCAGTACAGGCAGTCCCCGAGTTACAAATATCTGACCTATGTACAATTCTCATTTACGAATGGAAGCTATTACAGTAAGTCCCCAAGTTACAGTCATCTGACTGACATACAACTTGCACTTGTGAATGGCAGCTATTAAAGGTTATAGGTAAATGTACCTATTCCAACTTACATACAAATTCAACAAACCTACAGAATCTATGTCATTCATAACCTGGGGGCTGCCTGTATTTCTAAGACTCTAGGATTATCAGTTGACCATTTCAAACTAGAAAATTCTCACAGTAACAAATATAAAAAATTCTCTTATTTATTGATGGACTTGAAAGAAGAGAGTGAAAGAGGGCATGAGATTGTTGTATGTTGTATGACCATCACATGAACTCAGACTTTTAAAGTGAGTTGGAAGTAGCCAAGAGAAATGACAATAACAGGTACAGACTCATCAAGGGAAACTCAAGCAGAAATAAAATAGTAAGAAAATTAATGGAAAAAAAAAAGTTCTAGGTAAAAACAGACAACAGAGAGAAAGCAGCAGCAGTAACGTGACAGGAATCATTTGCTAGAAACCAGGGTAGGCTGGTTCTGCCATCTATCAGTTGCCCATGCTAGAGACTGATGATCATCCTTGATACCTCCCACCTGCTCCCCATCCAATCATTAAGTGTTGCCCATTCAACCTCCTAAAATTTCTTCATTCTGTCTACTTCTGTTTCTGCTACCACCCTAGTCTCAGCTGCTAATATCTCTTATGTGACTAAAGCAATAACTTTTAGACTACTCTCTGAGGCTACACAACAACCCTTCCTATTTTTTCAGGCTAACTCCTACTCATCCTTCAGGTCCCATACCTGTCCTCCACTACTAACTAGATTAGATACCCCTGTTATTGATCCCATGGTACCCCATATTTCTTCCCTATAGTTGGTGCTCTAGTAATTACTTACTTAAAGCAAATAGTTTATGTTTCTCCCCCGATAGAGAAGCTTCATGAATGCAAAGATCATATTTGTTTTCTCCAGTGCTGAATCTATAGCACCTAGTACAGTGCCTGGTATATAGCAAATGCATACGAAGTATTTGCCAACTACTATTTCTTAATCTGCTTTGCTGTTCTAAAAGAAAGGACTCCAAGTAGGGAAACAGGGAGACTAAAATCAAAAGGAACATACCAGGGAAAGGTCACACTGACAACACTTACAGAAACCAAACACTAAGTTAGCCCTTTGCCTGGACTTTCCTTCAGAGTTTATCGATCCCACTGTTGTTAGTGGAGTATGCAGTTCTCATGTGGCTGCTTCACAAGCTCTCTGCCCACAGATTGTACCACAAACTAATTTTCAGGGACTCCAAATAGGAATTTTTAGTAGCATTTGGGAAAAGGTCCCAATTGTTCATTTCAGACTCTTAAACTCAATATACATTGCTTTTCTCATAACTTACCAGCTTCCAGGTCATCTTCATCTAATTCTGGGGTGCCATAACTGCGACTCAGTGCTTCTTGGATTTCATTTGCATCTTCCATCATATCCTCTAACTGGTCTTGTAAATCCTACAGAAATATATATAACAAGGTTTTCATTCATTTTTTACAAGTCTTCCCTACCTATCTCCTTCCTCTATCAGTGGTTCTCAACCTTCTTAATGCCTTGACCCTTTAATACAGTTCCTCATGTTGTGGTGACCCTCAACCATAAAATTATTTTTGAACGAGGAACTATGTTAAAGGGTTGCAACATTAAGAAGGTTGAGAACCACTGCCCTACACTCTCCTTTGAATCTTAAAAATGAGCAATTTGAAAAAAGATAGTGCATAATGGGTGGCGCCTGTGGCTCAAAGGAGTAGGGAGCCGGCACCATATGCTGGAGGTGGCGGGTGCAAACCCAGCCCCAGCCAAAAAAAAAAAAACCGCAAAGAAAAAAAAAAGATAGTGCATAGAAAATGCCTCACATGGCTCGGCACCTGTGGCTCAAGTGGGTAAGGCACCAGCCACATACACCTAAGGTGGCGAGTTCATATCCAGCCCGGGCCCGCCAAATAACAATGACGGCTGCAACCAAAAAATAGCCAGGCATTGTGGTGGGCGCCTGTGGTCCCAGCTACTTGGGAGGCTGAGGCAGGAGACTCGCTTGAGCCCAGGGGTTGGAGGTTGCTGTGAGCTGTGATGCCATAGCACTCTACCCAGGGGGATAGCCTGAGGCTCTGTCTCAAAAAAAAAAAAAAAGAAAAAGAAAATGTCTCACACATATAACATTTCAACAACTGTTAGTTTATATTTCCCTTAACCTAGGGAAATTGCTAACCTTGGCTAGCAATTGCTTTTAGTCAAAAACTGAGCAGAGACTTCCTGATAGGACAAGTTTAATCTTAAATGTTCCTTCTAATTAAAACTATTAGAAAGAGTACTTAAATAATTATTTAAAAATTAGAAGCACATAGCACTCTGGGAGGCTAGGACAGGTAGATTGTTTGAGCTCAGGAGTTCCAGATCAGCCTTAGCAAAAGCAATACTCTGTTTCTACTTCAAGTAGAAAAATTAGCCAGGCATAGTGGCAGGCGCCTGTTGTCCCAGCTACTTGGGAGGCTGAGGCAGGAAGACTGCTTGAACCCAGGAGTTTGAGGTTGCTGTGAACTAGGACAAGGCCATGGCACTCTAAGCTAAGTAATAGAATGTGACTCTGTCGCAAAAAGAATAAGAAAAAAAATCAGAAGCCCAAAGATTTCACCTATAATAACCACAAATGTTTCTGACCCACATCATCTCCCTCCTATTTTTGGTGGCAAAATGTTAACTTAAAAACGAAGAGTAGAATTGGTCAGCTTGCTTTTGATTTTCAAGTGTCTCATGGAAATCAACAATCCTACTGCAAGATGCCCATCAGTTCTCTACTATTCTAGGAAGTTTTACTTGAAACATTAAATGAAACAACATCTAAACTTATATTTTTCTAGTTAACAGAGAAAAGACAGTAGTACTTCAGATAAGCAAATTACTCTTCTCAAGTCTGCCAAAGACAGACAACATTGTGTAGGTGGGAGACAGACAACCACAGGCCAAAAGTGGAGAGAAACACAAAAACTCAAAAAAGCCAAAGTTTCTCCTACTTCAGCTCTAACTAAAACACAAAAAGGAACCCTAAAAGCAGAAAATAAAATTACATTTCATTATATTTTATTACCAAATACTGCTACAAAAAAAGGCAAGCATATACAGAACATCTTTCTCAGTGCATCTCCTAGAAGATATCCTGAAGATATCCATGTGAGCAGACACTTGTGGAGGATTAGAGATGGCCAAGGACAGTCTAAGGAGAGGCGCTTGAAAAAAGTAAGAGGGTGTAATGACTTCACTCTTCCTAAATATCAGTGCTGCCAGAGAATAAAGTTAATTTCTCTAGTATAAAGTAATTGCTCACTTAACAAATACTGCTTGAATTGGACAGGACTGCTTTCTCTTCTTTAATACCCTCCCATTCATCAACCATCAGATACTTTCTGAGCCAGGCCAGGCATTGTTCTGGGCATCCGGAATACAACAGTGAACAAAATCAAGTTCCTGCCCTTCAGGAAACAGTCATTTTAGTCAGAGGTAAAAAAGCCCTGTTATATATGCAGAAAGAAAGCCTCTTCCCTTTGATCAGTCACTACCTACTCCATCTGCTATCTCTGCTTGCCGCTTGAGCTGTTCACCTGATAGTTGAGAGCACCCAAGCTCTTAGGGTTCACCCCCCTCGCTAAAACCCAATCTCAAGAAGAAATCCTAATTTTAAGGAACTAACAACACTATTAAAAATCTAGAGAGAATTACTAAAAAAGGGAGCCAACTCTATGTCAGGAGTTTTAAGCACTTTACAATACATATCCTCATTCAGTACTTGTCACTATCCTGGGAGGCAGGCAGCAACACTGCTATTTTACAATAGAGGAAAGAGACTTCACTAGTTCATTTATTTCATCCTCATAATACAGATGCTTCTTTGTTTATGGTGGAGTTTACACCACAATAAACCCACCATAAGTTGAAAATATTGTTAAGTAGAAAATAAATTTAATATACTAGCCTAAAAGCATCATAGCTTTTCCTAGCCTACCTAAAACATGCTCAGAACTTACACTACAAAGCCTATTTTAAAATAGTGTGTTGGGTGTCTCATGCACTTTATTGACTATCCTGAACGTGAAAAACAGAATAGTTGCACAGGCACTTAAACAAAGAAGCATCTGTAAAGGTTTCCTCTATGGTTTCAACTGGCTCGGCGCCTATAGCTCAAGCAGCTAAGGTGCCAGCCACATACACCAGAGACAGTAGGTTCGAATCCAGCCTGGGCCTGCTGAACAACAATGACAACTGCAACCAAAAAATAGCCAGGCGTTGTGGTGAGCGCCTATAATCCCAGCACTTGGGAGGCTGAGGCAAGAGAATCGCATAAGCCCAGGAGTTGGAGTTAGCTGTGAGCTGTGATGCCACAGCACTCTTCCCAGGGTGACAGCTTTAGGCTCTGTCTCAAAAAACAAACAAACAAACAAAAAACTATGGTTTCTACTACATGCATATTGTTTTCACACCATCGTAAAGTTAAAAAATCCTAAAGTGAATCATCAGAAGTTGGAGATCATGAGTACTTGTTTGTGGTATCAGGATCCTTGTATCAACAATGAGGATACCGCGATCTCCGATATCCTTCCAAAGTTACTCTTACTAGAAAATGGCAAGCCTGCAATTTGGTCCCTTTTCTGTGCTCTTCCCAATATACACACATTCGTTTGGATTCTTTCAAAAACTAGTATATGTCTGACCTCGATCTGGTCAATTTTCACTTGCTTGTATGCTTTTTTCATTTCTTTTACTCCCAGTTTCATAGCATCAACCTAAAAAAAGGTAGAAGAAAACACAATATTTCAACAAGTCATATTGGTTAAACTGTCTTTTAAAAAACATAAGAACATAAGAGGAAAAAAATAAAATATGAAAAGGTAGTTTGGAAATACCGTGGTCTTAGTGTCCTTCAATGACTGGATGGTGTAATTGGCTTGTTCCATGTTAAAAGACTGTTGGGCGAGATTGTCCCGCTGCTGCTCATACCTTTTTAAGAGTCAATTGAGAATGGCAAATGTGAGCCACATAGAAATCTTCAGGAAGAAATGCTAACTTTAAGGAACTAATAACATTATTTAAAATGTATCCCCCACTAAACAAGAGAATTTTCTTATAAAAAAAAAAAAAACCTTAAATATTAATATACAGAAAAATTGGCAAAAAACAATTTAACCACTCTAACACAAATATCATTTGATGTGTCTCTCCAATCTTTTTTACTTTGCATGTATACTCATAGGTTGCTTAATGACAGGGATATGTTCTGAGAAATGCATCATTAGGCAATTCTGTCCCTGTGTGAACATCTCAGGGCAATGGTCCCCAACTTTCTGGCACAGGGACCCGTACCACGGAAGAGAATTTTTCCCTGGATGGGGGTTGGGAAAAAGGGTTTTGGGATGATTCAAGTGCATTACAGGCATTAGATTCTCACAAGGAACGCGCAACCCAGACCCCTACATATGCAGTTCATAGTAGGTTTCATGCTTCTGTGAGAATCTAATGCAGCTGCTCATCTGACAAGAGGTGTGGGTAGAGCTTAAGGAGTGATGTGAACAGTGGGGAGAAGCTGTAAATACAGTTGAAGCTTCGTTCACTTGCCTGCTGTTCACCTCCTGCTGTGTGGCCCAGTTCCTAACAGTCCATGGACGGGCATTAGTCCACAGCCCAGGGGACAGGGTCCACAGTCATAGAGTGTGCTGACCGAAACCCAGATGATATAGCCTACTCCATGCCTAGGCTATATGGTAAATAGACTACAATCAAGTACAGCATGTTGGTGTGCTGAATACTGTAGACAATTATAACTCACTGGTAAGTTTTTGTGTATCTAAACATAGAAATGGTACAGTAAAAATATGGCATTATAATCTTATGGGACCACATCAACATATATGGCATCTGTCACTGACTGAAATGTTGCTATGCTGCAAATGACTGTATCTTAGTTATAACATTATTTGACACTTAATATATAGCATTTGCTTTTGTTGGTATGTTGCCACATACCTTAATATATGCCTTTAGAATTATTTACTATGATAAATTCCCAGAAGAGAAAATCTTAGGGCAAAGGGTAAGACTATTATTAAGGCTCTCCATATGTATAACTGAATGTTTTCCAGTAGATTTAACTCATGAGGACAAGTATTATATTTCTTTTTCTTTTCTTTTTTTTTTTTTTGGCAGTTTTTGGCTGGGGCTAGGTTTGAACCCGCCACCTCTGGCATATGGGGCCAGCGCCCTACTCCTTTGAGCCATAGGCGCTGCCTAACAAGTATTACATTTCATTTATCTTGTATCCATAATATGTTTTCTGAAATAAAGTTTGAATCAAATCATAATACCAGCTCAAAGACTTATGTTACTGTGGTCCTTATACAATATAATACTTGACTATCTATCCAACGAGAAGAAAATGGTCAACTCATGGTATAGGCACATGGTAGAGTATTATGATTCCATTAAAAAGTATAGCTGGGTACACGGAAGCTGGCAGGTTTGAGCCTGGCCTGAGCCAGCCAAACAACAATTACAATGGCAACAAAAAATAGCCAGGCGTTGTGGCC